TTATTCTCTCTCCTCCTGTACTGCAAACTGTTCTTCAGTGCACAGCTCCCAAGCTAGGAGGTAGATGCTCAGAGACCCATTATCCTGCGGAGGGGCTGTGCCAGGGGGTACTGTCACCAGAGAAGCAGCTTTTGGGTGCTGTGGTAGGTGAAGGGACTTAGCCTCAGCCTCCCACTCCAGGGAACAGAGATCCTCGGGGTACCTCTCCCTCTGGATTTGCTTGTCTTGTCCCCCGTGGTGTCTGGCAGATGGGTGACTGGGTGGGAGGAAGGAGGCTGTCACTTGCTGGGGGCTTCTTGCCAGGGACTGGAGAAACTCCAAGAGAAGAAATACCAATCTGAGAAAAAAGCCCAGCCACCTCCGGAGTCACAGCAGCAGCCAAGGCCATCAGCAGCAGCGCAATCGCAGTCACCATCTGCACCACAGCCATCCCAGGCGCAGGCACCGCCTCAGCCAAGGCAACAGAATGCCCAAGACCCTCTTACTCACTACACCTCCAAGCATGATCTCCAGGATCCCCAAAAGCCTGGTCCCCAGCTTGGCTCAGGAGGGACCCCTCAAACTAGAGGGCAACCCAACTACTTTAAGGACAAATTCCAAGGAGGGCAGAAAATGCCTCAAGACCCTGGTAAGTGGGAAGCCTCCCCCCCCGCCCTATGGTCCAGACTCCACATCTGTTACCCCACTCTCTGTGACTCTCCCCTGCACCCTGGGCTTTTTTTGGGGGCCACTCCTTCTGAGTGTTGTTTGTGCCAACCTAGCGTGCAAAGAAGGCTTCCAACTTCTGCAGAGGGTGGCTGAGAAGTTGTCAGACCTTCCTCCAGGGGAGGCTGACGGGGGTGAGGGTGGTCAGAGGGTAGAATATGAGTTGTAGGCTTAGCAACAGATATACAGAGCCCTGTGAGGCCTGGAAGAGGGAGTCCCAGTTTCTAGTTGAGAACTTTTAGGGTGAGCTCAGTCTGTGCCCTGCCCCAGGTAGGGTCCACCACCTGTCCCCAGTTACATAATAAAGAGTCCAGCTCTGCCATGTTCTAGTCTTGGAAATTGCCAGATGAGTAACACATGCTTTGTTTCATCATCAGGTGTCAGGAAATCAGACCAACCCGGGTACCCACGATTCACGGTGAGAGTGTGAAAGGCAGGCAGACTGGCTGCGTGTCTGAGTGTGCTAGTGGAGGAGTGAGTGTAGAGTCCAGAGAGCTTCCCTGGCAGGAGCGGGGAAGGGCTGCAGTTACCTCAGTCACTTCTGGATGGATCGTTACCCTGCTGCTTACCCCCTTATAATGTCTAAATAGGGGCTGTTGCTCAGCACTAAGCATAAGTGGAAGGGTGACAATCTATTTGGAGAGATAGGACAAGTGCCAGAGAAGCAAAATAAGGGGGCTGTTTAAGCGCCGATTGGGGTGGAGGCAGCTGGAGAGGGGGGAAGTCAAGACCTGCAGTCAGTTTGTTGGTCTCAGTCAGGATCACCACTCCCTAGTAGCATGGCTTAATCTCCAGGCCTCAGCTGCCCCCTCCATAAATTAATAACGATAATAGTACCTCCTTCACAGAGGTTTCATGAAGACCGCATGTGGCAATGACAAGAAGGCACCAAAAGCACTTAGCCTGGAGCCTGGCTCATTCCTAGCCCTTTTAGGGTGAGGACTGGGCTGTTACATTTCACTTTGATTCCTCTCGCCTCAAAAGGCTTAATGTCCTGAAACCAGCAGGCCAAGAAACTGCTAATTAACCTGTTTTGCCTCCTGTCTCTCCCTCTTCTCAGTCAACGAATTACGTACAGCAGTGGTGATCCAGAGAAAGAGCCCAAGACCCGCCTGGGCATCGGTAAGAAACGCATGAGCAAGCCCACCTCTCACCAGGCAGCAACATCTCCGCTCCGAGAGCCACTCCCTCCTGAGCCACTCTAGAACAGGCTAGCCGGGAATAAAGTTACTTCTTCCTGGAAAGAACTGAGACTAGTCGGCTCTGTGACCCTGGGATGAAGGGAAGGGGGCAGGAAGACCCACGAAGGGGGTGGAGAGGGCAAGAGAAGAAAGTGGAAGGCAACTGCATGCGTCTCCAGGCAAAGCCAGTGGGAGAACTGGCCTTAGACTCCCAAGTCTCCAGCTGCTGGCCCTTTTCTTTAGCAATGACAGTTCTGTCTCACAGGCGCCGTTACCCCTTCCTCCTAGCCGATGCTTACTGAGCCACAGCTGGGGAAGGAGGGGTTGCCTCCCACCAGAGCAGGCCTGGGCAGCAGTAGGAAGAGGTGGCAGACAGGGAGGGGAGGGCCCCCCCAGTCCAGTGTAATGCCCAGCCCCCCCCAGTCCAGTGTAATGCCCAGCCCACAGTGGGCACTCAGCTATTGAGTGGATGATGGGAGGCAGGAGTGGAGAGAGAGAGCTCAGAGTAAAGGGAAGCTATAGCCTCAGGCACAGGACACCTGACTCTGGGAAGGGGAGGGGGACTGGTCCACAAAAATCCACAGGCCTCTTCCTTCCTGAGTCTCAGCCCTTCCAAGGAACAGAAACAGCCAAGAGGCTCCAAAGGCCCAGGAGTCCCCCTCACCACTTCCTGAAGCTGACATCGGGGTCCTGCAGCCTGGACCCCTCTTCCACCTGGGATCAGAGAGGAGGATGCCTGGGTCCTGTTATTGTGGCCCACACAGCATCACCTTTGTCACACTCCTTCAGTCAGACTAAAGGAGTCCCTCAGTGCAGTGTTTCCTGATGGGAGCGGCTGAGGGCCACATGGGGGAACACAGAACAGGACTAAAGCTAGAAGGGATCTTAGAGATATACAGTGAGAAAGGGAGAGAGCAAGCTCCTTAGAAGCCATCTCTCAGAAGCCAGAAAGGTAGGACATGTTATCAAGGGGCTCAGGGCCTGGGGAAAAGACCTTGACACCCACTCGGACCCCAAGAAATAGGCTGAGATGGTGTGGCTCAGTGGTTGAGGGTCGATTCATGAACCAGGAGGTCAGGGTACATGCCCGGGTTGCAGGCTTGATTCCCAGTAGGGGGCATGCAGGAGGCAGCCCGATGATTCTCATCATTGATGTTTCTCTCTCTCCCTCTTCCTTCCTCTCTCTGAAATCAATTTTAAAAAAACAAAACACACCATATATTTTTAAAAAATGTTTTAAAAAAGAAGCAGGCTGAGAAACCAGCTCCCTTCCCACTCACAGAAGACATTTTTTTAAACATTGTTAAGTATAGTTTATTGGCTACAATATAAAGTCTTTACATTTGGTGATCTACACACAGCAGAAACTCTAGCCTGGCCTTCCTGGCCTTCTGTGCTGTTGCCAGCACCACTTCTTACCCATGAAAGCGTGGAGACAGCACAACCTCCTTCCTCTCGTCCCCCAGCCAGCCAGTCACCAGGTTCTGTCACCAGTTGCCCCTCTCCGCCCAACCTCTTCAAGTTCAGTTTTTCCCACCACCTAAGCTCCTCTCTCCACCCGTCTGATAAAAACCTTAGCCACCTTTAGTGAGCAAATACCATTTCTGCTCAGCTAAACAACAGAAACCTCCTCCACTTGGAGCCCAGTTTGACCTGGACGACCTGGGGCTGAGCTTCATCTAAACGACAGCAAAGAGGGCTAGACCAGTCCCTACTGATGCGCTGCTCCATACTGTCAATGCCCAAAGGAAAGCAAGGGCCTCTGGGAGCAGGGGGTGGGTCCTGATGCAGCAGAGCCCAGCAGCTTGGCTGGATACTGACAGCTTCACCTCTGCAGGCTTTCAGGGGATAGCAGCTGGGCCCACTGCTTGGCCTGCCTGTGTCGACTTGCATGGGCTCAGGGTTGTGGGCTCACCAGCGGCCAACTCTCCTTCAATAAATAAATACCTTTTAAAATGACTCTGGCTTTGTCTGTTTTTCCTGTGTAGACCCAAGGGGTGCCAGGTGCCTCTCTCCCCTCCCCTCCCCTACTACTTTGTGCCTGCTGTGAAGAAGATAATAACTTTAATGGAGAGAAGAAGCTTGAGCTGGAGAACTGCTGTCTTCCTAGGAACCAGGACAGTCTTTATCCAGGAAGGATGCAGAGCTGAAGGGCCTTGGCCAATTCAACTGTCACACTGGCCGGGGACAAGTTACCAGGAGACAAGCTGACCATCACTTTGTCACATGACCAAAGCAGGAAGGCACAGGAGAGCAACTATGTGCCATAAAAGACCCTGGGGACAGCACTGAATGTTCCCCAAGTCACTTCCCCACCCATCACTAGGTGGAGAGCTGGAAAAGAATTCATATTTTTAAAGCCAGATAAGATTAAAGCTTTCTCCACTTTCAGGCAGGAGGAAGGCCAGACCTGAGGAGCTGGGCAACTAAGGTGCTCAGGACAGAAAGGGCAGGGGCCACTCCAGACTCTAAGGTTAGAGTCCAAGGAAACATCAGGCCAGATTTTCCTCAGGACAGATCAAGGGGAAACCCTGGTGGCAGCCCCTAGAAGAACCAGGCTTGTGCACCTGTGCAAATCAGAGAGCTTCCTGCGCTTAGGGTATGGGGGGGG